GTAAAAAGTTGATGATTACTATCAATGTCTTGAAATCAATTTGTTTTCCAATTATTCATTCTTTGTCTGATTGTCCCCCAACCATTTTTTTCAATTGCTGGTTTATCTCCCATTTGGTTCAGTTGATCTTCATTATATTCCGGACCTCAAAGCACAGGTAAGTTATATGTTTTAGGTGAAGCTTTAATTCTAGGGATAAGTCCATTTGACCCTCCCCCCCCCCCCCTCAACTTTTCACTTCGTCTAAAATACACCCTTAAAGTTTAAAACCAGGTATTTTACATCCCCGAACTTTCAATACCACGCAGTTTACCCCCTGGGTGGTTTCTATCCTAGTTTCTGCAATTAATTAATGAGAATCTCCGGATCTGCAATTACACATAAGAAATTGCATTGAATTATTTTCGATGTGTCTTGAATAAGACCGTCACGTAGCCGGCGAGCAGCTCGTCGCCACTGGTGATGATCGCGTCATTTAATTGATCAATCGAAATTGCATGCTCCCATTTAATTTTCGATGCGTTTTGCTGTGTAATCGCATACCGCTGGAGTTGATTGATCGATCGAACAGCAAGATGACGAAGCGCGCCGCGAGCAGCTCGTCTACGCCGGTGATGCACGCTTGACAGTGGAACGTGCGGTTTCGCTATGGACGGTTTGCATGGATCGGTGATGCTCCGGGCGGCTGCCGCTGCCAGTACACCATGCAAGGACAGAAACTCCGTCGCCGCTGGTGCGTCGAGAAGGTCTAGCGAGAGCAACCGATGCGTTTGCATTCCACGCTTCGCCGGCGGTGCATCGAGAACCTCCGGCCGTGGTTGTTCGCATTCGCCGGCGGCGGGCGGGGCGGCAAAGACGACGACCACCACGGGCCACGGCGGCGGGGCCGCGGGGGCGGCGTCCGTGACCGCAACCGCATCCTCATCGCCAAGTGCGCACGCTCCCAGCGGTGCGGCCGGCACGGGGACTCGTACACGCAGTCGGCATTCGACACCATCCTCGCTGGCTACGTGACGGTCTTCTTCCACCTAGACTCAGGCTACACCCAGCACCAGTGGCAGTGTGGCACCTGCTGCGCAAGCGCAACCACACCACATGCATGGCGAGCTCGCCATCGCTCGATCTACTTCCATGGTGGAGCTCGACGAGGCTTCAAGGTCGGCGCCGGGGAGCTCCAGTTGACGTGGCTCTCCTCTTTGCGCTGTCTGCGCGTTCATAGGCATCAGCGCTCGAGCTGACCAACCCGGTGGCTGCTGGCTTGGGAAGAGGGAGAGGGGAAGATGAAGAATCAGTCTGAGATGTGGGACATTAATTATTTTCTAATATATTTTGCTGACTTAGATTGACACGTCAGCGCCACACATTGGCGAAACCACCATATTTCAGGACGGGGGGGTGATTTGAATGGTTTTAAGAATTGAGGGACGTATTATACCCGGTTTTGAAGTTAAGGGGTGTATTTCAGACGAACGCTATAGTTGAGGGGGTAAAATGGACTTATCCCTTAATTCTATGGTCATGCCAATCACAAGTGCAAGTCCCCTCTTATATCTCACTAAATAGAAAAGGTTTCCTTACCTTTCTATACTTTTATTTATCTTTCATTTCTTACCATTAATCACCCACAAAGATCGATTTCATAATTATTCAATGATCGATTCAGGACTAAATCAAATTAGAACATTTAGAATTTTTATCCTACAAGGAGACAACCTATATATTTAATTGCTTTCTTTAATAATTAGAATCATGTAAATAAATGACCATATGTTATTTCTATGTCATTTTTATTTTATTTTTTTCATAGATATAAGAGCAAATATGAGAAATGTCATTGACAAGCGGCTCATTCTATAATCAAACTTTGGTATCTCTATTTTGTAGTAATACTATATAAATAAATGACCATAGGTTTCAAGTGATTTGTGTTCTTTATTATGTGCATTGAGAATAATACTTTGTTATCTCTATTTTGTAGTACTAGCTTATGGACGTTAGAGCAATGTTATCTTATCATTGGTCGATCCTAATCGCCAAGGGACTGATTAGGTCGATTAATCGTCAATTAACCTCAATTAATCACCTGATCAATATTTTGTATACACGGACTAGTACGGGCGTGTTTGGTTACCTGCATGCATGGAGGGTGGCTCGCATGTGTGGGTGCAAGAGGAGGTTGTCTGGTTGCCCGCACGGTCGTCGGGGCTTGGATCCACGCATGCAAAACGGCCTCCGCAGCTAGGCCCGCGAGAAACGCCCGAGTTGAGCTTCGCTCCCCATCCAGGCTGCGCTTGTGCAGGCGGCGTGACGTGCGGGTGCAGGCGCGGGGATACACAGATGCAGGAGGGCGAGAGGGGTCGCGCTCCCTTCACCTCACTCCTCCTCATTTGCTCGCTTGGCCTCTACTCGGCTCATCGCCATCTTCGTCGCCGCACAGCCATCTTCTCCACCAGAAACTTGCCTGGGGCTTGCCTTCCTCCTCTTCTTGTCGTAGCCTCCACCACCTTCTCCACCAGAAACTCCACCCCTCCTTTCTCCAGCGACTGGACCGCGCGGATCCGGTGCCCACAAGCTTCTAAGCGGTAGATCTGGAGCGGCGGCGACACCATGGTTTGGGGTGAGGCCGCGAACGACGAGCGGCCACCAGATTTGGATGCTATGACCGCGGGAAGTGCGCACAGCAAGCTCCATGGTGAGCTGCAGCACAAGCGAGCCAGGGGCGACGCTGCAGGTGAGCTGAGCTGCAGGCGTTGGGGATGGCGGCGCGGCACTGTGGATGTCGGCGATGTGGACGGAGAAATCTCGTCAACGCGGCGCTCTTTCTTCTTTCTTTCTCTTTTCTTTTTTTTTTCTTTTCATTTTTTTCGTCTATTCATGAGTAAATGCTGTGCATCAATGCTGTGCAATGCGCACACCTTTTGAAACTAATGATTGTTTTTTTCCTGTTTTTTTAATTGTATTTTCTATCTGTTTATGTTGTCTATTAAAAAGTTTACATGTATATAATGTTGTTAGAGATTTTAAACACCATTATTACTTTTTACATGTGATAAATTATTCATGTACTCGTTGGTTAATCCATTTTTTTTCATATGATGTCGCAGTGGTAATCTTACCTAACCAATTGAATAGGTAAGCACACTCAAATTCATACAACCAACCAAACAAAATCTCCCTTAAACCGTATTTCTCATACAAGCAACCAAACAATGTCTTGTGCTAGTCAGGCTGAACCCATGCAATCAACCAAACAGCTGCATGTGTATCTCCTCAACCAGGCTATACTCAGCCTGGATAAGAGAGATGGACCAGGCTAGAGGGATGCGAGCAACCAAACACACCCTTAAGTTTAGCATTATATACATGTAAACTTTTTAATAGACAAGATGAACAGATAGAAAATGCAATTAAAAAACAGGAAAAAAACAATCATTAGTTTCAAAAGGTGTGCGCATTGCACAGCATCGATGCACAGCATGTACTCATGAATAGACGAAAAAAATGAAAAGAAAAAAAAAAGAAAAGAGAAAGAAAGAGCGCCGTGTTGATGAGCTTTCTCCGCCCACATCGCCGACATCCACAGTGCCGCGCCGCCGTCCCCAACACCTGCAGCTCAGCTCACTTGCAGCGTCGCCCCTGGCTCGCTTGCGCTGCCGCTCACCATGGAGCTTGCTGCGCGCACTCCCCGCGGTCCTAGCATCCAAATCTGGTGGCCGCTCGTCGTTCGCGGCCTCACCCCCAAACCATGGTGTTGCCGCCGCTCCAGATCTACCGCTTAGGAGCTTGTGGGCACCGGATCCGTGCGGTCCAGTCGCTAGAGAAAGGAGGGGTGGAGTTTCTGGTGGAGAAGGTGGTGGAGGCTACGACAAGAAGAGGAGGAAGGCAAGCCCCAGGCAAGTTTTTGGTGGAGAAGATGGCTGTGCGGCGACGAAGATGGCGACGAGCCGAGTAGAGGCCAAGCGAGCAAATGAGGGGGAGTGAGGTGAAGGGAGCGCGACCCCTCTCGCCCTCCTGCATCTACGCATCCCCGCGCCTGCACCGGCGCGTCACGCCGCCTGCACAAGCGCAGCCTGGATGAGGAGCGAAGCTCAACTCGGGCGTTTCTCGCGGGCCTGGCTGCGGAGGCCGTTTTGCACGTGTGGATCCAGGCCCCGACGACCGTGCAGGCAACCAAACAGCCTCCTCTTGCACCCATACATGCGAGCCACCCTCCATGCAGGTAACCAAACACGCCCTTAGAAGGAGGTGTACTAACTGTCGAAGGAGGAGCTCATCTTCCTAGTGCCGACGGTGCTTGAGGCTTGAGTCCTTGAGGGGCGGCACCATAGGAGCCATCTAGCTCGGCAGCTCTAGCAGCAGACCAGGTGAAGGGAAGAGAGAGATCTAGGCAGCAGCAGGTCTAGTTCTAGCAGCATATCAGGGTGGCGGCTTGAGAGAGGGCGACGGCTTCTGAGAATAGTGGTGACATGCAGTGGCGGATTTAGTCCATTTCTGTGGGGTCGGCTGACCCCACAGCTTTTTGAAAAACATCTTATAAACCTTGATTTTCATGTATAAATCTAAAAAAAATTATAGAAATGACCCCACTTAAATATAAACCACTAGTAATTGACCCCACAGGTATAAAATCTTGGCTCCGCCACTGGTGACATGCCCTCATGACTAAACCCTAAGGAGAATGGACCCAGCTTCACATGCAGCCAAGACTTGTTGTGAGATCAATATAGGTGCTCTAATCGGACGATTAATCGTGCCTGATCGCCAATTAATCGGACGATCAAATTTCTAGTCAACCTGATTGAATGAATGCCCATGATGGGATGATTAATCGTGATTAATTGGACGATCAGATAAGATTTCTTTATAGATTCATTAATTAATTGTTCTGAGGTGGATATCAATTTGATAGTAGATCAATATCGATAGGTACGATAATTTGGTCTTTGGTAAAAAAAATGTGCAAGATATAACGTGAATGGAGAGAAGAGGAGAAGTCACGATTGGAAGGCAAATGTTCGTGAAGATAGGCACATATATGTATCGTACAATGTCCTCTCCGCTTGTCGAAATGCAAATAACATCATCGGGGGATATGATCATCAGTTCACGAGAACAGAGGAAGAAACAAAAGCTAAAAATTAAAACCATCAACAGCCCGATCGAGTTTGCATTACTAGATACACACATTGCAGCCTTCCTTCCCTCTCTCCATGTATCGATATATCAACCCGGCCACGCACAAAACATTTGTTCATTCCCTACTCGAGCTGCGCGTACCACACCCCTTGGATCTTGACATCCTTGGGCACCTTGGCGCCGAGGTCTGTGTCCGACGGCTGCACGCTCTCGAAGACGCCAATCACCTCGCCGGTCTCTGGCTTGCTCTTGGTGACGCTCAACGTGATGTTGCCCGTCGACGACGAGGCGTTCTTGACGTTCTCCTTAGCGAGCTCCTCCTCGTCTCCTCTGCCTCCGGCGGGGAGCGCCACAGCGTTGTCGTAGCCGGTAGAGCCACCGCGGCCCTTTGGGTCGAGGAAGGACGAACCACGGTAGCTGGGCACGAGGAAGGGCCCGCCGAAGCTCTCCGGCTTGCCGGTGGCGACCAGATTCTTGATGGTGAAGAGGAACGGCACGCGCTCGCCTCCCGGCAGCTGCACGGTGACGGCGGCGTAGTCGATTCCGTCCTTCTCCTCGAACTTGATGGTTCCGTCGGAGCTGACCTCGAGCGGGCCCTCGATCTCGTCGAGGGTGTAGGTCAGGCGGGTCATGAGCTTGGTCTTCTGGAACTCGGGTGGCGCGTTCTTGGCCACGCCCTCCGCCTTAACGGTGAAGGACGTCGGCTCCAGGCAGAACTTCTTCATGTTGTACTTGCCGGCCTTGAAGGCGAAGGAGTCGACGCCGCCCTCCACCGTCGGGCACTGGTTCGCCGTGCCGGTTCCCTTCACCTCCATGTACGTCTTACTCTGAATCTCGTCGAAGGTAAGCCTCCTCGGCACGCCCTCCGCGCTGGCGCCCTACACCGGCCGGCCACCACATGCACGGCGTTACATATATAGTAATTCGATCGTTTCCACCTTGGCCTTGGCCATGGCGCCATGCAACATACTCCTAAATCCTAATTAAGGTCTTACCGAGACGAGCAGAGCTGAGGTGGCGAGGGCGAAGCCGGCGAGCTTGGCGGCATCGGCGCACTTGTTGGCGACCTCCCGGATGTCGGACTGCAGGGAGCACGTGATCCTGCCGGCGGCACCGGTGTCGACGCCGAACGCCCTGGCGACGTGCGAAGACGGGCGCGATGGCAGCGCGGCGGAGGAGGCCCGGCCGCCGAGCTTGGCCGGCTGCATCAGGGTGGCCGCGGCTTGGAGCGATGCTGCCATGTCCGCTCGCTCGCCTGCTCAGCTCTCAGTTGGTGGGTGGTGTGGCCGTGTCCGTGTGGGTTGTATCGTGAAGGGCGTTTTGTGAGGGCGGGACAGTGTTATCTATCGCAGAGCAAGGGGGGCAGAGGAGGATAAGAGGATTGGATAAGGCGTGGCCTCCCATTGGTGGCTTGGGGCTATGGTGATGCTGAGCTGGACGTCGACGTGGCACGCCCAGGTGCCACTCCTTCCCCGGCGTGTGGTGGTGGGCTCTTTCATTTGTGGGGCTGGCGCTGTGAAGATCCTACTTCCAGCCAACGAAGGCTTGCCACGTCAGGAATGGAAGAGACAAACGAACCTATTCTCTTGAAGGCACAGGGAACCCAAAGAAAATGCTAAAAATTAAAGATCTCGCTCATAAGACCGACATTTGTAATGTGTTAGATGAAACAGGAATTATAAAAAAAAAACATTGGGCCTTACATCGTTGTAGATGGAAATGGTCAACAGCTATTTGTAAATTTTCCTAACTGAATCACATTATATATATATATATCCACAACAATAGAGTAATACTTTTCTCATCTATACTCTTCTAGAAATAGACAAACAATAGAGTAATACTTTTCTCATCTATACTCTATGGTGGTGGCTGTTGGTATTTGCTACGCATACTGATAAATCCGTAAGCGCACAAATAATGATGTAGCATTTTCTCTTAGAGTATTTTAAGGGTATCAAAAATAAAGACGTGTGTGTACTATCTACAAACAGAATTCCCCCAAGGACAACAATTGATGATAAGATTGGCAAGAGAGGATTCATATGGACTTCACTAGTTGACTTAAGTTAAAGATAGAACTCTATCGTATGTTTCGCACCGGCTATCCCTTAATCTGTTAGGTTGAGTCTGGCCTTGAGCTATATGATATGCCCGAACGTGGAGGGATGCAAAGTACGGGCAGGGCTGTCACCACCTGCTACCCACCTCACTTTGCGTGGAGCACACAATCTCTAACCTTCCACAGAAACTTCCTTCTTTATAGAGTCCTAGTACTAGAGCAGTTGCAACTAAGCAACGAACCCGCATCGATGAGAATATTTATCACTCAAGTAAACTAAGTAAAAAAAAACTTTACTTTGTTGTGTGTTGTGAAGTGTGTTGAGCTCCTCCTTTCATAGTGCCAAATGATGGTTGTAATGGTGATTAGTGAGGTTGGTGCACACATAACAGCCATAGTCAATCCAATGGGGAGCTGCCACATTGAAAGGGGTAGCCAGGGGCACCACGGCTTGTTCAGCCGAACTAGGCCTCCGCCTTCTGGCCACCGATTTTGGACAGTTACTGATACGTGGACTCTTATGACGGTTAAAGATGGTTTGGCCCTATCTCAAATCGGTTTTGACAGTCAGGTGGGCCCTTTAGTTCTTGTGCTCGCGCTTGATTAGTCAGATGGGCCCTTTAGTCCTTGTGCTCGCGCTTGATTGGCCAGAGCTTCATTTTTGTCAGATGACGGATGTATTTTTTCCTTATTTGACCCGCATACTTATATGTATCAAAACTAATGGAAATGGTTAGTAGTAAACTCCTACCACTAAGTTTTGATAGTGTATTTTATTTTTTTAACGCAGGAGTTGATGGTTAAAGTTTATACTTAACGTCAACAATGGCAGTGAATCCGCCACCACATCAACTCCATTTTATTTTTTTTATCAACTACTCCTTATGTACTTTATTTTTATCTAAGGGACAAGTGTATCCATAATTCATTCTTATCCATTGCAAAGCATGAATATTTAGCTAGTTATAAAAAAAGCAACAGTATAGTAACAACTTTAAAAGTGATTTTCATATAAACAAAAAAAAACATGTTTTTAAGGTAAAACCGATCTTTCAGGAATAGATCCTCTACGAAAGTAGATAGATGATCGTCATACATCTCTTTTGTATATATTTTGTGAAAAACTGTGCTAGCTCACCGAACTAAATTCTGTAACATATGCTTTAGTCCCTAATTCGTGTCTTCACACATATATAGGGTTTGTTTGGGGGAGCGTAGGATTCCGAGGAGCAGTTGGGTGGTAGTCAGCTCCTCAGAACCTGGAAAAGCTGGGTTTTCCAACTTCTAACTTCTAGTTTATTTCCTCGATTTTACAACTACAGCTTCTCAGAGTTTAAATTAAAAGCTAGACTATTTGGAGAAGCTTCTGATTCTGGGAGAAGCTACAGCAAGTAGAAGCTCTCCAAACAAGCCCATACTTTGTATCTAAGTCTGCTTCAACACTTTATCTCCATCTATTTGAGATTAATCAACACCAAGACCAACAAAGGGAGAATCTGCATGTGTGGATAATATATAAACAAATTCTCCACAAGTACATTTGCTCTAAATTCTGTCTAAATTTTGTAACATATATAAACATCCTCTCCGAATTAAATTATGTAACATATGCTCTAAGGGACCACCTATATGTTTGTCGATAAATTTTCTCCTACAAATTTGACAGATGCAATTATAGTACAATCGTAGTGTAATTACACTGTAACTTGCATGTAAGTTTCACGTAATTTTGAATTGTTAGATATATTACAAGATTTGTTCTAATGAGGAAGAAAAAAAATCACAGAACAAACATATGTGAAATGATTTGTTCCCATGACCTTCATTTTACCGAAATAACATGTTACAGAGAGATTTTTAAAAGTTACACACAAGTTACAGTGTAACTACATGTAAGTTACAGTGTAATTACACTACGATTGTACTATGATTACATCTGTCAAATTTTTGGGAGAAAATTTGTCGTTAAATATATAGCACAATTGGGAGAATTTCGTTTCTAAAAAAGTTTTAGGGAATACCATGTGTAGGCCCAGGCGCCCAGCCTATTAACGACCCAACTAGGGCCTGTTCAATGCGGGACTTTCAGCTTCTCAGCCTCAGTCCGAGTCGAAGGCCGTAGTAGATCTTTTTGCTCGGTGAGAGAACCCGTTAACGGTGCGCCGCTGCTTTGCTGTTGCTGTGTCGTGTGGTCGTGACTCGTGTGACTCGGTGCGTGAGCATAATCCACACTTCCACAGAGAGAGCAAGACGAGGTGAAGCGGCGCAAGCAACAGTGCAACACGCCAGGCAACACGGAAGCGACTAGCGAGCGAGATAATTATCATCGTCCACTCTATCCGCCTCCAGCTTGCCCCGCCTCGGTCCTCGGAGGTGTAGGAGCGACCGACCATGGGGAGCGCGGGGGCGCTGCTCTCGCACTCGCCTCCGGGGCTCGGCGGATTCCCTCCTCGCCACCATCACCACCACCGTCTCTCCGTCCTCCGTTGCGTACCGCTCCTCCCCTCCCCGGCGCCCGAGCCCCTCAGCTGTCGCCACGGCCGGCACCTTCGCTGCGCCGCCGTCGACGGGGGAGCCGGCCGGGAGACGGAGCGTCCCTCGCCGCCCGCACCTCAGAGGGAGGAGTCGCCGTCGGGCAGCCTCGGCGCAGCCCTCGAGGACCCATCTCCTCAACCTGGTGTGCCCCTTATCCTTCTCCCTTTATGTTGCCGATGGTACCTCAAGTACTCACTAGCGAGCCGTTTCCTTGGCTGGAACAAGTGTTGCGATTGAACTGGGAACTGGACAGCTGCTTGCTAAAAATCATGAGAAAAAAAATGTTACGAAGGGAATGAAGAAACTTAGTAGAACTTCAGGCATCCTCCTGGTGTAACCATACGTGCTACAGATTTAACAATCAACGCAATGAAACTGTAGATTAGGAATACAGTTTTGCATAGCAATACCAACTACAGATTTAACAAGTCGCTTAACATGCAATAGTTGCTGACCGTGAGCTTTCATTGATTCATTTGAGCTTCATATATATGTTCGTGAAATCTTGTTCTGGGTATATTGAGTACTCCCTCCGTTTCACAATGTAAGTCATTCTAGCATTTCCCACATTCATTAACATCAATATGAATGTGGGAAATGCTAGAATGACTTACATTATGAAACGGAGGAAGTAGCTAAAAAGCAGGGGGCTATCCTCCTTTGGCATATCTGATACTAATATCTAATTACCCCACACCCAAAAGACAGAAAATCTTTCTAGAGTGCAAAACCCCAGCTTTGAGTAGCTAAAAAGCAGGGGCCTATCCGCCTGCGGCATATCTGATACTAGTATCTCATTACTCCACACCCAAAAGACAGAAAATCTTTCTATAGTGCAAACAAAACCCCAGCTGATAAGCAATAGAGATGCATGTGATGCTATATGCTTGGTCAGGTCAGTCATAAGACGTGAAGGCTATCTACAACTGGTCTTAACTCTGTAGTTATGCTAAGGAAATCTGCTCTGAATATGTAGTTCGTACAACGGTACAAGTGGGTTCCAAATCTAGTCGCTTTTGTTCTTAACCCATCTTTATGATCACCCATTATAGATGTCATTTGTATAATCACCTGTTAGAGTTCCAACATTTTATAAAACCATTGATGATCTATTATGCATTTAATTTTGTTTTCCTTCACTTGATAGTTACTATTTTTGAAACAGTTATGCTAAAATTAAGTTGTCACCTTATCATTGTATCAGGATTTAGTGAACCATATTTTGAATAGCAATGCTATATCAGAAGGGCCATTTAGTATGAGAAAAGCTAGATTTTTAGGCTCTGCTTCAGCCTTTAGTGTTAAACAAACTGAGTGGCCATGTGCTACAACTGACTCAAAGAAATGTTACCGTAAGTTGCTAAGCACGATAAAACAAAGTCAGTTAATGTGTAAGCACATACTTTCAAAACTTCAACTCAAAGTTTGCATAATATAGTAACTTAAACAATGAAATCCATCATGCAGACATAATTGTCATTTAGCATAATATATTTTGCATAATATAGCATAATTGTCATAATATCCTTAAATCTGGAAGTTAGGTAAAAACTTTCATCCAATCCACAAGCCACAACAGAAGAACCCCTAAGTCCTATGTGTGTATGCTTCCAAACATCCACAGAAGAATCAGATGAAATTCATCATCAACACTAGCTGTGTCTTTTGTAGGAGTAAAGGAAACAACTGGAAGAGTTGAATGGATGAAACTTATACAGTTTTAGATTTGTTGTGGCTAAAATCTTTAGGCTCAATTTTCTAGAAGTATTAAAGAAAAATCTATGTCATTGCATTGTACTTATCATAACTATTTTATTCCCATTGTGTATTTTTCTGGTGATAACTGCTACATTTATATTCATTGTACAAAATGCCCTTAATTAGTATTATACGTTGGTGGAGTTCCTTTTTAGAGTACTTGACAACTCAAATTTAACTTGTACAGTCCAAAATGGATCTTTTGGAGGTATCACAGAGGATGAAGAACAGAGTAGCCTGTACAATTTTCTTTATCCGAGCAAAGAGCTACTTCCTGATGATAAGGAGATGAGTATATTTGATCATCTAGAGGAACTTCGTGACAGGATATTTGTCTCAGTATTGGCTGTTGGTGCTGCGATACTTGGTTGTTTCGCTTACTCCAAAGATCTTATTAGAATTCTAGAAGCACCAGTTAGTGTTCAGGGTGTTCGGTTTCTGCAGCTCTCTCCTGGAGAATTTTTCTTTACAACATTGAAGGTAAAACTCTTAACAAATTAACATGACATACTCTAAATGCAAATTAACTTTGTAAGTTTTGCATCTCCCTATGGAACCAACCTTGATGCTTGAGTAAATTTTGCAAAACTCCAACTACTTTGATAAAACTATCGCAGAAGTACATATTTAAGCCACATCATTACAAAACTACAAATTTAGGACAGTATCACAAAAATAAGTAGATTTGGAGTTTTATGGTAAGCCATGGTAAATCTGTAGTTTTGTGGTATTGTGGCTTAAATCTGTAATTTTGTCATGTTTTTGTCAAAATATTTGTAGCTGTGTGAAGTTTGCTGTTTCTTATTAAATGTTTCAACAATGTGCACTGCACTTTGAAGTTGATCCTGGTCCTGCGTGGTGCGTAGCACATGGACTGGTTTTAGTCTGGGGAGTCTATCCGTTGTAAAGGCATTTAGTGCAAGCATATTGTCATGGGCATTAGGCCATAAGGCCAAGGCCCATAGGCAGCCCATACCAGTTAAGTTAGAGATAAGATAAGATTAAGTCTTACTTAGAGTTCAAGTTATACCATCTATATGAGGATGTGATTGTGTCTATTATCGATTAAGCAATGAATATCAATTAGTCTAATCTCTCCCTCCCCACAATGTTCTTCTCCCTAGCCTAAATCTACATCCCTTCTCCAGGAGCCGACACCACCCGGCTATCCTTCCGGCGGTGGTTATCTCGTCATGGCCTCGGGTCGTGACACATATGAACTGTACTGTAGCTATCAAAATGACTATCATTAAGATTGAAAATATTTAAATCCTCCCTCACATGGTCAGGAAGCTTAAACACAAGTCGACATGTGTGGGACTGTTTTTGCCTCCCAGGCCCCCATATAATCACAACACAAAACTGCAAGTAGCTTCATTTGCCTATGCCTGTTGAAGCTAGCTCAGGAAGTTTCTCACTTCTGAGTGCCATGGGTAGCAAGATTGGTGCAGAAGGAAAGGAGGTGCAGGTTTATGACTCGTGTTTTTATTACGTGTACACTAGGCTCACATTCACAAAACCACACAGTAATGCACACTGCCTCACTCGTCTATAAACTGCTCTAGAGACCACTAGAGTATATAATCATATTCATTATAATTTTTTAATCAATCTTCTTGTGTACTAGATGTTAATGACGCTTATATCCTCTCATGTGGTCGTTAAGCAATTCGACTCTTGCTGACATTGTTATTTCAATGATGTGCAGGTCTCTGGTTATTGTGGCCTTCTACTTGGGAGTCCTGTTATTCTGTATGAGATAATAGCATTTGTTCTTCCGGGTTTAACAAGGGATGAACGTAAATTCCTAGGGCCCATTGTTCTGGGCTCTTCTGTACTATTCTACCTTGGCATTTTCTTCTCCTACACGGTTCTTGCTCCTGCAGCATTGAATTTCTTCGTGAACTACGCAGATGGGGCAGTGGAATCGTTATGGTCGATTGATCAGTATTTTGAGTTTGTGCTTGTGCTTTTATTCAGCACAGGATTATCTTTTCAGGTAAACACATGGTCTTATAAGTTTTCTTTTTTAACACAGTATCAAGGTTGATTGTTGTCATATTGTCCTCTGTTTCCACATGTTGTTGTAATTGTAGCAAACATAGTAGGAAAGCCAGTTCATGGTAACCATTACTTTATTGACGATTGAACTGGTTCGGAGGGTACTGCCTCACCTTCTGCGAAGATCGTCGTCCAGATTTCTCATAATAGAATAATTTAATGGGTGACTGCAGATGGTTAATCTCCATCTTTAACCTGAGTCTCTACCTTCTTATCATAAAAATATAGAGATTAACTCAATCAATCATAGAATAATTATGTAATCTGTTGTTCTTGCGGGTGCTTTTGTTCAATCCATGGTTGTAGTGATAGGGCAAATTCAAAGCAACTAGGTAAGTAAATTCTATGGACAAGGTTACAGGATATCTTGATCTTGCATAATCTACTCGGTTGCCAATTGGTGTTGGAACCTGTATGCTTGAACAAATCATTATTTGATCTAACTGTTTCAATGCTCATTGACTTGTTATCTGGTGCTAATATAATCATCAATTAAATGGCTGGTGTGGAAACTTCTCTAGATGTTAGTGATCTGAATTATCAGTCTGATTTACTGCCGAAGATAAAGAAAGAGAATAATTGTAGCAGGACCATCTCATTAGAATGAATATATCCCCTCTCAAAGCTGAATGAACATAATATCTTGTATATTTTTATAGTTTCCATGCTATTTTTTCCAGGTCCCTGTTATCCAGCTACTGCTGGGGCAAGTCGGTTTGGTTTCTAGTGACCAAATGCTTTCCATCTGGAGATATGTTGTTGTTGGCGCTGTAGTTGCTGCTGCTGTGCTTACACCGTCGACAGATCCGTTGACTCAGATGCTCTTGGCTGGTCCGCTGCTTGGCCTGTACTTGGGTGGTGCTTGGATGGTCAAGCTAACTGGTCGATAATTCCTACTAGTATTTTGTATTAATTAGCATCATAGTCATGGCGGTGGTTCTGGACAAATCGCATTCCCCATTGTAACATAGTTCGTATAAAATTAACTCTTTTTTTCTCTTCAACAAATCTCATAAATATTGTTTTTCCTCTTCTTTTGTTCTCCTACATGCTCCTGAATCTTATGTGCTCCCTCCAATCATCTATTTGACGTTGGGAGAGCTGATGACTAAGATCTCCTAATGTCAAAAAAAGATTGGGAGTACATATGCCTCTACACTCAAAAAGATGTACACAAGCAAGGAGGGGTACATTTTTAATACTCCCTCTGTTTTAGGTTATAACCTCTGTTTTAGGTTATAAGTTATAAGACGTTTTGACTTTGGTTAAAGTTAAACTGTTTTAAATTTGATTAAGTTTGTAAAAAAAATAATAACATTTCCAACCTAAGACAAATTTATTATGAAAATATATTCAATTATTGATTTGATAAAACTAATTTAGTATTATAATTATAAATATTACTATATTTGTCTCTTGAAACAGTTTGATTTTGACTAACCAAAGTAAAAACGTCTTGTAACCCCTTAAACGGAGGGATTCAGGAGCGGAGGGATTCAGGAGGGAGTAATAAATAATTCATTTGTTCTTGAAAGTTAATTGACTATTGCCCTGCATTTTTCAACTCACCTTGCTTGTTTACCCCAAAATTCATGACATGACCATTTCGGCCTTGGTTAATAGGATGTGCTGGCATGGGAGAAAATTCGTTCTCACCTATAAAAATTAAGTATGATGTTTGGTTAATACTTCCCCCGTTTCTAAATATTTGACATCGTTAACTTTTTATCACATGTTTGACCGTTCGTCTTATTCAAAAAACTTTTGTGAAATATGTAAAACTATATTTATACATGTAAGTATATTTAACAATGAATCAAATGATAGAAAAAGAATTAATAATTACTTAAATTTTTTAAACAAGACGAACGATCAAACATATTTAAAAAAAAGTCAACGGCGTCGATAACAAAATCGGTAGTGATGATTCAACTTAGGCGGCAAGTACTGTACCTTTTCATTTCTTTCACGTTACGACTAGTAGCCATCAAACCAATACGTTTGGAAAATATATAGTGAAAATCCATTATTACTACATAACCATTATTACTGCATAATTACTAGAGGTAAGTATAGGTATAAAATACATTTACACCAAATCTTAAGTTTATACTCAGCTTCATTTGATAGGGAAAAAAAGATAAATTTTAGGTGAATAGTGTCCTACTACTATTGATCTGATCTTTTTTTAACTCCCTAATAAAATTGAGTTCGAACTTGAGATTGGTGAGAATATATTTCATGCCTACACCTATCCCTAGTTATTTTTTGCATGAATTTATAAAACTTTTAGGTCCAATTTTAATGGGTTTTCATTTATTTGATGGTTTTCACCGGATATGCTCCGATGTAGGTATTTGTGCGCAAATTATTTAGATCAGTGAATTCTTGTACCCTAGATTGGGTTCAAACCCTAGATGAATTCTTGTACCAGTGTGTTGGTGATATGTCCTAGAGACAATTAAAGAGATGATTATATCACATACTATGTTTATATATTTATCATACGTTGTTTCTTGAAATAGATAACTCATTATTGATTAATAAATATGTGAGTCCTTCAAGAGACTTTTATGTTGTATGTTGTTATTTATAAATGATCCCTGATGAAATATCATATGTGTAACAAATATGGTTTAATGATTAGTACATATATTGATTGATGATCATGCCTCATAGATCGTGGTATTAATAATGTAGACATATGTTGGGGAGCATGTTGCTGGATAAACTCAATATGAGGCACATCAAGAACTATATGTGATGTGCCATCAGTGATCTCATTTAGTGTTAGTTAGAAACATCAGACCTGAGATTATCATAGTTCCCAACATATGTAGTCGCTTACTTAAAGGTTGGTAAACGTTACTCCATGATTGGGTACTTATAAAAGTAGTCTTCGGGTATTTTATGAAACATGTAGTTAGATATGAATAATCAAGATAAGATTTGCCCCTTGTCGATTTCTAATATCGGCAATATTATTTATGGGGTGCACTAGATCGAGAAGAGATGGTGACACAGATTTGTACTGGTTCAGACCCTGAATGTGAGGAAATACCCTAGTCCAGCTGGAATAGATTGGATATATACCGGTGTGCGTAGGTTAGCAACGAAATAGCCAATGGCGCGTATGAATCATGGAGTGTCTAACCCCTTAGGGTTTCCCTCGGCGCCCTTTGTATAGAGCTAGGGTCGCCGGTAGTTAGATGGTAAGGTTGCCCTTATAATTTAGGCACCTACCATCTATTTATAAGGGATAGGATTAATTTCCTTATCCTACATCTTTTTCTTAGCTTACAAGTTAGCCGCATGGGCCTAGGGCACTCGCCCCATCCTATACTGCACGGCCCAAACGCCTCCTCTTAGGTACTCGGGTACCCTGTACCTCATACTACCTCCGTCCCATTTTAAGTGCAACCATGATTTTTCGTGCCCAACTTTAATTGTCCATCTTATTTGAAAAAAATTTTCAAAAAATTGAAAAACATAAGTCACGAGTAAAGTATTGTTCATGTTTTATCATCTCATAACAACAAAAATAATAATTATAAAAAAAATTCAAATAAGATGGACGATCAAAGTTGGACACAGAAATTTATGGTTGTACTTAAAATGGGACAGAGGGAGTAGTAGCCACCGAGTATTGAGTTTGATGAAGGCTAGTGGCATCCAATGAAGAAGACGAGACTGGCTAAGTACTCCTCCCAAAATCTCCAAAAAAAAAATAATGCAATATGCTGCCGAGTTTGAATCAGACTGCTGATAGCGATGTTTACCAAACGGGGGAGGCTTTCCAGACTTCCTTCTTAGGGAACCCTTTCCTGGGCTGGCCCGCCGAAGATACCGAGGGCCATAAATACCCCGGGCGGGAGTGCCGTTGCCCTAGATTCCCAAATCAAACAATTATTTTCTCTTCTTCTTCTTCTTCGTGCGCCCAAACTTCTCGTCTTCGGTGATTTAGGGTTTTCTCTCCCCAAGCAGATCGGATTGAATCCAACAGATCCAACCCAGGTCCGCCTCTCTTGTTGAAGCTCTCTACTTTCCGCTGTCGCCATGTCTCAATCCACAACGGAGTCCGTCCTAATCCGGGACTAGGCCGCTTCCTAGACGCACTCGACGGTGACGATGGTGATGCTGGAGGAAGCTGTTGAGGAGGGGATCCTCCCTTCTCGGGATCTCATCGGCTGGCGGGGGGCCACCGGGGAGGAGTTCCCGACCCTGAACACCGACGATATCATGGTGTTCCTCCCCTTCTTTAGGTTTGGCCTCGGTCTTCCTGCCGACGATTTTCTCCGAGGGCTGCTTCATTTTTACGGTATTGACATCCACCATCTCAATTCCAACTTCATCCTCCAATCGCCATCTTTATCCATCTATGTGAGGCATAATGCGGTATAAACCCACACTTCACGTTCTTTCGTTACCTCTATCAACTCAAGCCATAGCCGGGGAAGAAGAACCCCATGGTGGTTGGAGGGAGCGGCATCCAGATCTGGACCGAGCGGAAAGCGGAGTTTTTCGATCTCCTGCTCAGGTCTAGCACAAGGGCTGGCACTCTAGGTGTCTACTGCTCCAACTTGTTGCAGGTCTGCCTCCATATAATGGCCATGCCCCGGGCGTGAAGGATTGTTGGTACACACTCCCTAGCCGCGATGAGATGGACCAAGTTAGAGGGGTGCTGAGGGGAGTGCGTCTTCTAATCGATGCTGGCTTGACCTGCAACTTCGTCACTTGGAGGATTCAACCACTGAAGAGTCGTGTTCACCCAGTCTGGGAATATTTAGGAAAGGATGACCCGACCAGGGAGAGCAATGAGTTGATTGACAAGGACCAGGCTTCCGAGAGGTTGAACTAGTTTTTCGAGCCCGAGACGTTGGTCAGCATGGAAGGGTGCTCCAATCCTTTCAATTGCAGCAAGAAATGGCCGGAGGTATGCCCTACCCATGCCTGCTTCATATATATGTGTATAAATTGGATTGTGATCTTCAACATCTATGTCCTTGCAGGGAGCCGTGACCTTTATCTCCAACCCTCCACTGCTTGGGACCTCGAGCAAGAGGCGTGTTGACGATCCCCCTTCTAGTAGCTGCTCTTTCAAGCATGTGGCCTCAAAGCAGCCACGCACCCCGGGTGGCCAACCGGTAGGTCCAAGGTTAGTGATGGCCATTCCACTCCAAGGATCGCCGAGACGTCTAGCAAGGGGAAGGACGTGGTGGTGACTCCCGACCCGGTCTCCAAGAATAAGTTGATAGGTTCGCCGGGATAACCCGGGAATCTAGGGGCAACGACGAGGGTGGCGGCGTCTGCCGCTAAGGCCTCAAAGGCACCAGGAGTGGTAGCGAAGACGATGTCACCCCGGTCTGACCAAGGGACCGAGGATAGGGGTCTGCAAGGTTCGGCGGTCCACCAGGTTAGTTGTGATGGTGGTCTCCTCTTGTTCACTTGTATGTAATGGAATCGTCGTAGACTCGTGGTGATTAAGCGTAGAGTGAATGTAGCATGTCGTCAATGCGAGATGATTTGAGCCAGCTCCAGTCGGCAAAGGATGCCGACAGCGCCTCTACTTAGGCCACTCTCGAGTCGGGTCAAGAGACCGCCGCCCGGGTGGATCGGGGCTGCCAGAGCCGGCACCTCCGGGCCCGAGGTGGCCGGGCAGACCACAGGGGACCTAGGCGAGCTAGGCGGTGACATGACAGCGGCAACGACGAAGGACGCGACGGATCAAGGGACCGACGGGGGAATTGGCGGTGGGGGCTTTGTGAGCTACAAACGAGACATCGCATGCGCATATGCCTCCTCACCATTCTCCGTTGCGAGCTTCTCCCCCGTGAGCTTCTCCTCTGCGAGTCTCCTCCATGGACTTCTCCTCCACCGAGTCCTCAGCCGCCTCCACACCACTGACCCGGGAAGGAGCCGGTTGGCGAGGATGAGGAAATCGTGGAAGAAATTCCGCGTCGGCAGTGCGCGCTGCTGTCGACCCAGTATGTCTCGCCCCTCCAAACTGCCTGGTTCTGGGGGGGGCAAAAAGGGG